GGAAGAATGTACCTAACATCTAACAGATAATGTATACCAGTTGTTCTCAAACTCCTTCAAAATCTTGAGTAGGAAAGAGCACTTCCAAACTGATTTTATGAGGCCAGCATTACCTTGATGTCAAAATCAGAACAAGATACCACAAGAAAACTACAGCCCAATATCCCTGATGAAGATAGATACGAAAATCTTCAAGTGACTCTTAGTAATATTTGCTCCAAACCAATAGTCATAGAGATGATCTTCTTACATGAAACAGGGGATCTGTGATGGTAATTTTATAGCTGGAAGAAAGGTATTCGCTGCTATAATGAATGAAGACAAATGTAAAGGTGATACATTTGTTATGGATTGAATTGTGTTCCCCTAACATTTACACGTTGAAGTCCTAGCTCCTAATACTTCAGACAGGGTCACTTTAGGGATAATCAAGTTAAAATGAAGTCATTAGGGTGGGCCCTAGTCTAATATGATAAGAATCCTTATATAAAGGGGGAATTTGGAGGCAGACATATACACAGGGGAAATGTCATGTGAACATGAAGGTGGCTATGATGATTAATATTAGGTGTCAACTTGATTGGATTGAAGGATGCCTAAATAGCTGATAAAGTATTGTTTCTAGGTGTGTCTGTGAGGGTGTTGTCAGAGGAGGTTAACATTTGAGTCAGTAGACTGGCAGAGGAAGACCCACCCCCAATGTGGGTGGGCACCATCCAGTCAGCTGCCAGCACAGTTAGAGCAAAGCAGGTGGAAGAAAGTGAGATAAGCTGGCTTGCTAAGTCTTCTGGCTTTCATCTTTCTCTTGTGCTGGATGCTTCCTGCCCTTGAACATCATACTCCAGGATCTTCATCCTTTGGACTCTTGAAGTTACACCAATGGTTTGCCAGAGGCCCTCGGGCCTTCATCCACAGACCAAAGCCTGCATAGTCGAATTCCCTACTTTTGAGACTTTTGGACTTGAATTGAGCCACTACTGGCTTCCTACCTCCTCAACTTGCAGACAGTCTATTGTGGGACTTCATCTTGTGACCATGTGAGCCAATTCTCCTTAATACACTCTGATATATACATGTATCCTATTAGTTCTGTACCTCTAGAGAACCCTGACTAATGCAATGGCCGTTCACAAGACAAAAAGAGAATAACTTAAGGAGACAGAGACACGAAAAATCCTTTAAAAAAAATCAATGAATCCAAGAACTGGTTTTTTGAAAATATTAAAAAAAATAGAGAGACCACTAGGCAGACTAATAAGAAAAGAGAGAAGAAATGGACACAATAAAAAATGATAAGGGGGATATCACCACTGATCTCACAGAAACACAAACTACCATCAGATAATACTGTAAATACCTATATGCAAATAAACTAGAAAATCTAGAAGAAATAAATAAATTCCTGGACACATACATGCTCCCAAGACTAAAACAGAAAGAAGTCAAATCCCTGAATAATAGACTAGTAAGTTCCAAAATTGAAACACTAATTATAGCCTTCCAACCAAAAAATAAAAAAGCCTAGGACCAGACAGGTTCCAGCTGAATTCTACCAAAGGTACAAAGAGGAGCTGGTACTATTCCTGCTGAAACTATCCCAAAGAATAGAGAGGAGGTAGTCCCCCCAACTCATTTTATGAGGCCAGCATCATCCTGATACCAAAACCTACCAGAGACACAACAAAAAAAGAAAATTTCAGGTCAACATCTCTGATGAACATCAGGGTGAAAATCCTCAATAAAATACTGGTAAACCAAATCCAGCAGCACATCAAAAAGCATATCCACAACAATCAACTGGTCTTCATCCGAGGGATGCAAGGCTGCTTCAACATACACAAATCAATAAACGTAATCCATCACATAATAATAATCCAAACAGTACCACTGTCAAAAACCACATGATTATCTCAATAAATGCAGAAAAGGTCTTCGATAAAATTGAACATCCCTTCACTCTAGAAACTCTCAATAAACTAGGTATCGTTGGAATGTATCTTAAAATAATAAGAGCTGTTTATGAAAAACCCACAGCCAGTATAACACTGAATGGGTAAAAGCTGGAAGCACTCTCTTTGAAAACTGGCACAACACAAGGATATCCTCTTTCACCATTCCTATTCAACATAGTATTGGAAGTTCTGGCCAGGACAATCAGGCAAGAGAAGGATATATAGAATATTCATATAGGAAGAAAGAAAGTCAAATTGCCTCTGTTTGCAGATGACATGGTTGTATATTTAGAAAACCTCATCATCTCAGCCCCAAATCTCCTTAAGCTGATAAGCAACTTCAGCAAAGTCTCAGGATACACGATCAATGTGCAAAAATCACAAGCATTCCTATATGCCAATAATAGACAAATAGCCAAATCATGAGTGAACTCCCATTCACAATTGCTACAAAGAGAATAAAATACCTAGAAATACAACTTACAAGGGATGTGAAGGACCTCTTCAAGGAGAACGACAAAACGCTGCTCAAGGAAATAATGAGGACACAAACAAATGGAAAAACATTCCATGCTCATGGATAGGAAGAATCAATATTATGAAAATCGCCATACTGCCCAAAGTAATTTATAGATTCAGTGCTATACCCATCAAGCTACTGTTGACTTTCTTCAGTGAATTAGAAAAAATTACTTTAAATTTTGTATGGAACTGAAAAAGAGCCCATATAGCCAAGACAATCCTAAGCAAAAAGAACAAAGCACGAGGAGGCTGGATGAGGTGGCTCACACCTATAATCCCAGCACTTTGGGAGGCTGAGGCAGGTGGATCACAAGGTCAGGAGTTCAAGACGAGCCTGGCCAACATGGTGAAACCCCGTCTCTACTAAAAATACAAAAATTAGCCAGGCCTGGCAACACATGCCTGTACTCCCAGATACTCAGGAGGCTGAGTCAAGAGAACCACTTGAATCCAGGAGGCAGAGGTTGCAGTGAGCTAAGATGGCACCACTGTACTCCAGCCTGGGTGACAGAAAGAGACTCCATCTCAAAAGAAAAAAAAAAATGCCTGGCGGCATCACGCTACCTGACTTCAAACTATACTACAAAGCTACAGTAATCAAAACAGCATGATATTTGTACAAAAACAGAGATATAGATCAATGGATCAGAACAGAGGCCTCAGAAATCATGCCACACATCTACAACCATCTGATCTTTGAAAAACCTGACAAAAACAAGCAATGGGGAAAAGCTTCTCTATTTAATAAATAGTGTTGGGAAAACTGGCTAGCCATATGCAGAACACTGCAGCTGGACCCCTTCCTTACATCTTATACAAAATTTAACTGAAGATAGATTAAAGACGTAAATGTAAGACCTAAAACCGTAAAACTCTAGAACAAAACCTAGATAATACCACTCAGGACTTAGGCATGGCAAAAGACTTTTAGTGTTTTCATGATGAAAACACTAAAAGAAATGGCAAAAAAAGTCAAAATTGACAAATGGGATCTAATTAAACTAAAGAGCTTCTGCACATCAAAAGAAACTATCATCAGAGTGGCAACCTACAGAATGGGAAAAAAATTTTGCGATCTATCCATCTGACAAAGGACTAATATCCAGAATCTACAAGGAACTTAAACATATTTACAAGAAAAAAACAAACCACCCCATCAAAAGATGGGCAAAGGATATGAACAGACACTTCTCAAAAGAAGACATTTATGTGGCCAACAAACATAAAAAAAAAATGCTCATCATCACTGATCCTTAGAGAAATGCAAATCAAACCACAGTGAGATACCATTTTATGCTGGTTAGAACGGCGATTATTAAAAAGTCAGGAAACAGCAGATGCTGGAGAGGATGTGGAGAAATAGGAATGCTTTTACACTGTTGGTGGGAGTGTAAATTAGTTCAACCATTGTGGAAGACAGTGTGGTGATTCCTCAAGGATCTAGAACCAGAAATACCAGGTTGCGGTGAGCCAAGATCACACCATTGCACTCCAGCCTGGTTAACAAGAGCGAAACTCTGTCTCAAAAAAAAAAAAAAATTAAAAAAAAAAAAAAAAAAGAAATACCAATTGACCCAGCAATCCCATTACTGGGTATGTACCCAAAGGATTATAAGTCATTCTACTATAAACATATGCACACATATGTTTATTGAAGCACTGTTCACAATAGCAAAGACTTGGAACCACCCAAATGCCCATCAATGATGGACTGGATAAAGAACGTTGTACATATACACTATGGAATACTATGCAGCCATACAAAAGAATGAATTCATGTCCTTTGCAGGGACATGGATGAAGCTGGAAACCATCCTTCTCAGCAAACTATCACAGGAACAGGCAACCAAACACCACATGTTCTCACTCAGAAGTGGGAGTTGAACGATGAGAACACATGGACACAGGGAGGAGAACATCACACACCAGGGCCTGTTGGGTGTGGGGAGCTAAGGGAGAAATAGCATTACGAGAAATACCTAATGTAGATGATGGGTATTTCTTCTTTTTTTTGGTTGGACTTCTTTTCTCATAATTATTTTAAGAAATATCTACACATTGATACTTTATACTTTTTATTGCAAATAGTGAATTTTATAACTAAAATTATAAACATATATAATAAATATATATATTATATAAATCATTTATAATTATATATATTATAAAATATAAAACATATAATATAATTATATATTATATAATAATATATAATATATTATATAATATATAATTATATAATATATAATTTATTGTATATTATTAGTTTATAATTTTAGTTATAAAATTCAATATTTGCAATAAAACGTATAAAGTATCAATGTGTACATATTTCTCAAAATAATTATAATGAGAAAAAAAGTCCAACCAAAAAAAAATCTATTGTATGATCCTCTTTATGGAAAATTCTAGAAAATGCAAACTAATGCATAGCTACAGAAAGCAAATCAGAGCTTGTCTTGGAGGTGAGGGATGAAGAGAAACAAGAAGATTGTAGGGACAGGCTCACAAAGAAACAAGAAAATTTTGGAGGATGATGGATAAGTTTATTATCTTGATTATGCTGATAGCTTTACAGATGCAAAATTAGGTCAACATATACCTAACAGTACATTTTAAATATGTCAATATTTAACAAACTATACACTTAAATATATCAATTATATCTCAGTAAAGCTGTTTTCAGAAGTTTGCAAATGAAGCATAGACTCAATAGACGTATAATTATGATGAATAACTTTCACATAACTGGAGATGTTGAAAGACAGAGAGTCAGAGACAGAGAGAAAATTGACAAATCTAGCAAAGCAAAAAAAAAGATACAAAATGGGGTGGGGAGAAAATACAGTAAATGAGACATATAAAATGAGATTTGTAAAATGTAATTGACTGTGTAAGTAATCACACCTAACTCCATCTCAGCCTTTGCTTCCTGGATGACCTTGCTGACCTACCAGGTATAATCTCTAGATTTTCTAATTTGACAGGTCTAGCACGGGTTTGGAGAATATGTATAATTTTTTATATGATTATAATGTTCACCCTTGTTCCAGCCCATAATTGAGATTTTAGTACAATTATTTTCTGTACAATACAGTACTTAACTTTCATAAATTATCATGAAGTCTTTACTGTGATGTCATTTAACATGCCTGTTTTGACATTATCAAGTTAAGAGGTAAGTATAGTACTGTCTTACTTTATCAGTAATTTTTAAAAAGATGGTCTTGGACCTAACTAACTATGAGGCTTAGCTCAACCAGGGTTGGATGAAGAATTAATAAAGTTCAAGGACAGTGTAATCATGTCTCTTATGAACATTGCTTGGTCATATTTATATGCAGAAATCTAATGGACTGTGTTTTTTGGCCAAGTCAAAATGTTTTGATCAAAATATCAGGTACCAAGTGTCATTAGATTAGCTTTACATCCAAAATAGACTAAGAATCCTTTTAAGGATTAAAGTCCATAGTAACTGAAATGTCTAGAGGGAGAAAAATATAAGAGAAAATAGCTGTCTTAAAAGTCTCAGATGGCATGATTGAAGAATGAATACATTTTGTTTTAATTTCTATCATGACAAAAAAACCTTTTAATTTTTTTTCTTCTATGGAGCAAATAGACTTATTTTTTATAATTAAAAATAATTTCATGATATTAAAAATAATTACACATTGCCAATATTTGGCTCTACAGAAATATGGAGGGGAGGGACGTGCCATCCCATGGCCACTCTCTTGTCATGTAGCTCATATCTTATAAATAATGCCCCATGTCCTCTATGGTGCATATTTTGCTGCTGATATGGTCAGTAGACATTCATTATTCAATAAATGTATCACAGTAGAATGTATACCCTAAAAATACACGATTCCAATGTAGCACATCTGCAAAACTGTTAGGCATCAAACATCAACACCTCTGTAGTGATATAATGAGTTCAGAAGAAGCTAATGTTCTCACAGGTGCATTCACTCTCATACAAACATGACCAAAAATATAAATTCATTTTTATTAAATAGTATAATTCTTATTATAATCTCACATCATATTTAATCTGGTTGATTAAAAAGAAAAAGCAACTGTAGAAGCAGGAATCTTACAGATATTAAAATAGAAATTTAAAGAAGGGCACATTTAAACAATGTTGGAGGGAATTTGACATATGTATTTGACACAATTTGACATATATGTCAATGCTAAAATTTATAAACCCTTTGACATGACAATTCCACTTAAGAAAATTATCCTACAGATATACTCAAACAAAAAGAGACATAGTCACAAGAAACATTCTATGTGGTGGTGTTTATGCCACAAACAAAACTTAAAAGAAATAAACAAAACCTAAAAGAATCTAAATGTCCATCATTAGAGTTGTGTTTAATTAAATAATGATATAACTATACAATGGAATTTTATATAGCCATTAAAAAGAATGAGGTAGCTCTACTTGTCATGATATAAAATGATCTCTAAGACTTATATTATTTGGTTTTCATATGTATAGAACAGTATTGCAGTGTATTGTTCCCACTGGTGCCTTGACAAAGATATCTGTATGTATACATAAATAGACATATAAATGGACACATATACCATAGGCATATAGACATGTCATATGTACATAAAAATATTCTGAAAGGATACACAAGCAACTGTTCATGATTGTTCCTTCTTCAGTTATTTCTGGAGGAAATTTGGTTTTCATTATTTACTGTCCTGCAAAATTTGAATATCTGGTCATGAGCATGTATTTTCTTTGTAATATCAGTTCTTCAGAGAACTAGCTGGTAGCTAAGAATCTAAAACTCCAATTATACAAGGGTATAAATGAAAATTCATTAAAATGTCTTCTAAGAACCTTGGAAAACCTAATTTCAATATAAGTCTTCATTCTGGAACTGTAAGAAAATCAGACAGTAATTATAATGTATCTTGTGTGTTGTTGTTGTTGTTTGGTGCAAGAGTCCAACAAATTATAAAGCATGGAGGCTTGTGCCAGCTTCACTTTGTAATGCCTGAGATACCTTCACCTTGTTTGTAGTATCATAGAGAGGATTGTTTTTCTCTGTGTAGCTTGCATAGGGCTGCATTTCATCCTAAGAAAGAACTCAAAGTTAAAATCAACTCAAAATAATCTTTATAGAAACTATCTGTATTTTTGTAGCAGTAACTCAGCTCTATTTCTAACAGGTGCTCCAGAGTGCTTATAGTTGTGTTTCTGGGCTTATTTAAACATAAGAGCAGGCTTTGTTATAACATTTTATCAAAAAGTATTTATCAATTACACAAGTCTCTGTGTGGAGACAATGGCTCTGTGAAAGTAGGAATGGAGATGAATGAAGCGATACGAGAAGTATTCCAAAGGAGAGCTTTGGAGACTTAGTATGCTACTTATAATAAGAGATTGAGGGGCAGGATATGTTTTAAGTTTGTGTAAGAGAGAAATGGTGATAGTATTGAAAAGGAAAAGTCAGCAATTAGAGATGCCTTAGAAAGCATTTCATTGATGGCGTGTAACAACTCTTCTTTGGTACTTGAAGGAATTGTAATTATTTACCCAAACGTAAAAATTAACTTGCACTTTCTCTCCCAAGATCCTGCCCTAAATTGGTGAAAATAGACACCAATTCAGTTTCTCCAAAGATTACAGTCCAAAGGAGGCAAACATCATGTGTTTTAGGATATAGTTCATGAAGTGAAAATGTGGATCTAGAGTGATGTATAAATAGTATTTGATAGATAATTAACAAAGTAATCACACATATAAGCATTGTAAATCAGAATTGTTTGTTTTTCAACTGAAACACTAATATTGACACAAACTACAAATTAAGTTGCTAGATTTTCCAGACTATTGGCTTAAGTTTGTAAGTATTCTTTTTTATCTTACCTCCTCAACAACTGGAGTAGCTTCTGTTTTATTCCACTTATATTTTCTATAAAAATAAAATAAACTGAAGTGAATGGAGGAAACATCATTGTTTAGATTGAAAATGGGAAAAATAAGACAGTATTCTATTGACAATTGTGGTTAATTTTGATAGAAGCCATAATAAATCAGAAAGAAACTACTAGAAATGAGTGAAGAATACTGCTAGTGATTAATAACCCCAAGTAAGAATATTCTGGATTTTGAAAAAGGAAATGAAATTATGCAATATAAGCTTGACGCAATTGAATGTATGTAACAACTCCTCTTTGGTACATGAAGAAATTCTAATTATTTACTCAAATGTAAAAATTAACATGTACTTTCTCTCCCAAGATCCTGTCCTAAATAGCCTAATTTCCCAGGCATCTATGCAAAAGCAACCTAGCAAAATTTCTGTAATCATTCAAAGTAGTCCAAGTCTAATACCCTCAAGATTTGATTATGGGAAATTTGATGTTGACATCCTAATATACCCCAATCAGTTCCATATTTCTGACTCTTTTTTAGCCTAATTAAGCTGAAGAAGAAAAATCATCAGTCAATACCTGCAGCCACTGATTTTCAATAAAAAAATGAATCCCACGATGATCAAAATAATGGCAAGGATGATATATGGAATATATAATTTTGCCGATTTTTTGGCACCTGCAACTACAAACACAAAAATATAGGGTTCAAATGTGGTACAATCCAAATAATGTACTATCTTATTATTCAGTGACAAAAACAAGCAATGGGGAAAGGAGTCCCTGTTTAATAAATGGTGTTGGGAAAACTGGCTAGCCATGTGCAGAAAGCAGAAACTGGACCCCTTCTTGACACCTTACACTAAAATCAATTCCAGATGGATTAAAGACTTAAACATAAGACCTAACACCATAAACACACTAGAAGAAAATCTAGGCAAAACCATTCAGGACATAGGCATAGGCAAGGACTTCATGACCAAAACACCGAAAGCATTGGCAACAAAAGCCAAAATAGACAAATGGGACGTAATCAAACTCCACAGCTACTGCACAGCAAAAGAAACAGTCATTAGAGTGAATTGGCAACCAACAGAATGGGAAAAAATTTTTGCAGTCTACCCATCTGACAAAGGGTGAATATCCAGAATCTTCAAAGAACTGAAACAGATTTACAAGAAAAAAACAAGCCCATTCAAAAGTGGGCGAAGGATATGAACAGACACTTTACAAAAGAAGACATACATGAGGCCAACAAACATATGAAAAAATGCTCATCATCACTGATCATTAGAGAAATGCAAATCAAAACTACATTGAGATACCATCTCATGCCAGTTAGAATGGCGATCATTAAAAAATCTGGAGACAACAGATGCTGGAGAGAATGGAGAGAAATAGGAACACTCTTAACACTGTTGGCGGGAGTGTAAATTAGTTCAACCATTGTGGAAGACAGTGTGGCGATTCCTCAAGAACCTAGAAATAGAAATTCCATTTGACCCAGCAATCCCATTACTGGGTATATATCCAAAGGATTATAAATCGCTCTACTGTAAGGACACGTGCACACGAATGTTCATTGCAGCACAGTTTACAATAGCAAAGACCTGGAACCAACCCAAATGCCCATCGATAATAGACTGGACAGGGAAAATGTGGCACATATACACCACGGAATATTATGCAGCCACCAAAAACAGTAAGTTCGTGTCCTTTGTAGGGACATGGATAAACCTGGAAACTATCATTCTCAGCAAACTGACCCAAGAACAGAAAATCAAACACTGCATGTTCTCACTCATAGGTGGGTGTTAAACAATGAGAACACATGGACACAGGGAGGGGAGCATCACACACTGCGGTCTGTTGGGGGGAAATAGGGGAGGGACAGCAGGGCTGGGGAGTTGGGGAGAGATAGCATGGGGGGAAATGCCAGATATATGTGATGGGGAGGAAGGCAGCAAATCACACTGCCATGTGTGTACCTATGCAACAATCTAGGATGTTCATCACATGTACCCCAAAACCTAAAATGCAATAAAAATATAAAAAAATGCACTATCAAACCATAAAAAGACTTGGAGGAATTTCAAATGTATATTACTAAGTGAAACATGCCAATCTGGAAAGATTACATACTGTATGATTCCAATTGTAAGACATTATGCAAAAGACAAAACTAGGGGAATAGTCAGTAAATCATTGATTGACTGGTGGTGAGGAAGGAGGGAGGAATTGGAAGAGCAAGGAGGATTGTGTAGGACAATAAAGCTGTTCTGTATAATACTATACTGGTGGATACATGTCATTACACATTTGTCCAAACGCATACAACGTACAACACCAGGAATGAACTCTAATGTATAAAGTATGGACTTTGGGTGGTAGTGTTGTATCAGTGGAGGTTCAACAATTCTAATGAATGTAACACTGTGGTGCAGGATACCTGTAGGTGGGGGAGGTGGACATGGGCAAGGGCAGGGGTTATATGAGAAATTTCTGTACTTTCCACTCAGTTTTGCTGTGAACCTAAAACTGCTCTAAAAATTAACGTCTACTAAAAATAAAGTTATCTATATTTATATCCATGTCTATAGATATAGATGGCTCAATAATGTCTCACATTACATGAAATTGATATCTATAGTTTCATTTTCAATACTTCTGACCCATTAATAGTTTGAGAATTATTAAAATTGCTTGTTCAATGCAGACTCTACAGTTTTCAGCAAGACATCACCTTATATTAGGATTTTGTTGCTTTAAAGATTAATGAGTGGTGAATTTCTACCACTCTTTTATAGGCGAGTGTTTCTTCCCTCTAACATTCAAAAATGGGCAGTAATGGCATTTATTAATAAATAGGCAATTGTACGGAAGTTCCTTGAAAAAGTAACCCTAATTCTGCAATCATCTTTCTGCCAGGGCATTGAAACTAAAATGAATACATAGCAGGAACTCTATTTATTAGCTTCCAGCAGCAATACAAAACTCTGACAAGCATGCAAGTCAACAAAGGAATTGCCAACTTGAGAGGCAATGATTTGCAAACTATGCTCCTGGTGTTGCGTGAATATGGCTCAGGGGCAGCAGAAGGAGATGAAGTGGAAACTGAGCAGGCTGGTGTCTGGTCCTCCCACTTTCCTTCCAAAGTTGATGTTTTTAAATATTGAATTTTTCCATATGTTATATGAAAATAGAATGTTTGGTTTCACTGTTTAAAACAACATTTTTAAAAATCCTTGTTTTCCAAACACTAAGGTCTCTCTCATTGAGTGTGTACTAGAGAGGCTGACGATCCACGGTGCAAGGAAGACATCAGGGACATCCTTGCACTACATAGGAATTTGAACAAGAAGTTCCCTTCAATTCTGAGACACTATAAATCTGACATCATATTGGAATATGAAATGGTGAGATTTCATACATAACCAAGGCACAACTGCTCTTTTCAGTAAATACTACTAAAAAAATATGACTTAAATAATACATATTTAAAAAATGGTGGTTTCAACACATGAGATTTTTCTCTTCTCCCTCATTCAAACTTACTAAAGTGTTAGTAAAAAGATTTTTTTAGTGTAGATCTGCAAAGACAAAGTGAAGAGGGACGAAGACAAGAACAGATGAAAGATTTCACACTGTTTTTAAGTGAGAAATGAATAGAAAACTGGCTAATGATTTACAACATAGAATAAATAAAAACCTTAGTACACACAAAAACTCCAGGAAGCCTCTAGAGTAGGAACCACAAAATGTAGAAAAAGGAGTATGTGGAGGGGTGAAGAGTGGGGCTAAAAGTTCAGAGCTTCTCTAAAGTTTGTCTTGAGAACAGGCAGGTTGCCATGTCTCCTGCCCCATCTTAGGTCGCACACCTTTCCCAACCGGCAGGAAAAGGGGAGATTGGCCTAGAGAAGATGACCTGGAGAGACTCCAAAGTCAAGGATCCAGACATCAGGGAGGGTGAGAATAACATACCACACTGAATACAGGTATGAAGGAAAGTCTGATTCTCAACAGTGCTGCACTCACATGCACACTCGCACACTACACTGTTCTCTCCCTTCCCAAACACTGGTGGGCTTATCTCTCCAAGGCCAGAGACTGCTGAGTTGATTTCTGCAGAGCCTGAACAGCCCCAGAGAAAAGGCTTTCAGATATATAACAAATCTGCTAATTATTAAAAAATCACGTAGCTCGTTTTCACTGTACCGAAGCTAACTGGTTGGCAGACACAACCATTAACTAGTAGAGCTTTCAATTAGCTCATTAGTACTCACTTCAAAATGATCCATACCCAAGGACTACCAAAGAGTTAAGAAAAGTTTCATATATGAAGGAAAGAGTTAAATGTGTAGAAGAGAAAAGAAACTCAGGTTGCATAGATACAGGCTAAGAAGAGGATTGAGGCAATGAGAGTGTCCAAGACAATAGCTATACAGCAGGTCTAGAGGCCAATCGGGAGATTAGACCAAGCACGTAGAAAAATTCAAGAATGACTTTGAGAAAAAATAGAACTAACAGCTTACCTAATAAATCTGCCCATATGGAATATATTACTCAAGGGCTCTCTAGTTTTGTCAGTAGGCTTAATGATAGTTTACAACAGGTAACTACATTCTTAAGGAAACAAAAGAGGTAAAGCAATGATAAAGTCCAAAAAAGTGTCATTCAAAAGGGAAAGCATGAGTGTATTTCTTGATTCAGCACGTAACAGTACTTAAATATTCAGTTTAATGGGAACATAGGCTATTGAATGAACAATTGCATTACCTCAATTGAAGTTTGAAGGAAATGAAGAAGGTAATGTGAAATCCTCATCTACCATAAGAAGTTGTGATTACATAATGTCTAAATTTGATACAGTAAGAAATAGCACTATGCGCACATTATATAAAAATGGCACCAATTACTAGAAGAAACACTGGAAAATTTGAAAGTACCTACCTCTGGGGAGTTTAATGGAGATGGCAGTTGGATTGGAAAGACAAGGGTAGGGCTAATAGTTTTCATGAAGCCTTACAGAACAATTGCACTTTCAATATGTTTGTTGATATTTAATCATTTTAAAATAATAAGAAATGAGAGTAGGATGAGAGGAGAGTAAATAAACAGTGATGAACTGAATCATAATGTTATTATAAGACATTTAAGAAATTCAGTGATGAAAAGCCTAGAAAATAAAATTACACCAAACTAAAAATTCATAAAAGCAACTTATGAGTGAATGTATTCTTCTAATAAAACCATAATTATGTGCTTCAAAGTATACTTTGTTTTTCAATAAACCATAAGTATTATTTTTAAAAGAATACTCATGCCAATTAACTACTAACATGGAAGTGAACATTAATCATAGAATTAAATGGCATTCTGAAAAAGGGCTTTTTTCCACAAATGCTTGGACTGTTCTCTGAAACATATCTCTTTATTTTGGTCAGGGAAGAGATAAAAATGAACAGTAGAGAGAGCATCCTTGAACAAAATCTATTTGCACACCTCTTTTTTTTTTTTTTTCCTAATATAACTCCTTTAAAAGAATGGGGAAAAGTCAAAACTAAAACCATTACTGACCAGGAAGTAGCTCTATGTCCAGACTCCTGTTGCCAGTCAAATGGGAGACACGGCAGGTCACGGTAGACACATTGTGGCCCTCCCAGTGGCATGCACTCTTAACAGTCACTGTACCATTGTCCCAGCATTTTTGCTCAGTGACACAATCCCCCTCTGGGATCCAGGAGATCTGTGCAGCTGGCTTCCCTGCAACTGCCTTGCATACTACAGTTCCATTCCTACTTTGAAACAGGGTCACTTCAGGAGTAACTGCAGAGACGAAAGGGAAAAAAATGCTTCGGTTTTCACATAAAGCATATGGAATTCAGAGAGACACTTGCTTCAGTCACAAATTTGGTGATGTGAAATACCACAATATGTGATGCTCCTTACCTAACACTTCGAGGTGATATCCATGATAGAAATTCCCACCAGGTGCGCCCATTATGCATCTGTAATACCCGTCATGAGTGATGGCCACTGGACGAATCTGAAGGTCCAAATTCTGATCAGGTCTAGAGACCCAGGTTATTCTCTCATCAGTACAGTTGGTTTCCTTGGTCTCATTTGTTTCTTTCTTGTAGGCTTTTTTACAGGAAGGCTGGTCTTTCAGGATTATTTCCCATGTTATGATCAAATATTTTAATGTGATAGGGCAGCAAAGCACAGCATTTTTACCCATCAGTATAGGCCATGAAATATTTACTGGACGCATACATGAAAGGAGAATGATAAAAGAAAATAAAGAATTTCATGTGTTACATTTATTAACTTATCACATTGAGTTACACTAGAACATAACTTTGCTGATCTTATTCCAAAATATTAGACTTTCATAAAAAATTAAAATTCACAAAATATAAATAATATATTGAAACCAATCCAGAGATTAACCAATTTTCTCCTGTATTATGTATTATTAGAAATATAATACATTTGATAAAGTATTTTGATATTCACTCAGAAGTTTTAATATCAAGGAACAAAGAGATTGTAAATTAAACAACAAAGGCAATGTTCTACATCTAATCTTTAGATGGTGGAAACTATTGTCTTTATCATGCAATTTATGTGCCACAGGAAAGAAAATGGAAAAATTAGTGATGTGGTTGTCTCCTCCTCAGCTCTGATGAGCACAAAAAGTCTATCTCTATGTTTTTGTTTCAGACAAACATAAATGTGATAAGTATTCATATATAGTTCTTTCTTTTAAAGTAACTAATATGGCATTTGGGTTGAACTAGCTAGAAATTTTGTTAAGTTCATTTTTCATTTAAGGAATCACAAAATTGGTAAAATACATAGATCTTTAAAAAAAAAACACTTATTTCACAAGTTGAGCTATCCCATAAAAATGAAAAATGATTATGCCTACTGATGAGAGATGCTTAGAAATATTTATTTCTTCTGAAAGTGTAGTGTGATATATAATTTTTAAGAAAGATTTATTTCCCTTTAGATATTTTTCATTAAAAGTATTTTATAGAAAATCCATGAAATTATCAAATATAGCCTTTAGATGAGTTTTCATTCCTTCCTATTTAGTCACACATACACTTTCAGGTAGTTCAGCTGTGAACTTAACTCACAGATTTTATTTCTGTATACCCAATCCAATTATCAACACTATGTGCGTAAGTTGATCCCTGTCCATCATTTAAAGGAAAAGTTAAGCCCTGCATCCTACAAGCATCTTCCAAAATAGAACCTCACACATCCCATAAATCAACAAGTTGGTGACTTGGTAAGGGTTTGGTGAGAGGTAATTAGTCATCTAAAGTATCTGTCACTACTCACCTATAACAAAGGTGTCAGTGATTTCATCACTATAGCATCAGCAGAATCAGCTATAAAGGGGCAAACCTTTATGTGGATGAAGGATGTTTTTGCTAAACCCTGTATTTAATCTCTCTCCTATCCTGTTTTGGTGTCACCTGTCTCTTATATGGTTTGTACTCCAGCCCTTGTATTTCACAGCAAATTAATAAACACATAAATAGATGAAGAAAGAGATAGTACTTTAACATAGATCTGAGAGGTAGTTAAATCCCTGCTTCTTCCGCCACTCCACCTTAACAAAGCTTCAGAGGCTTGTTTGGAGAACAATTAGAGGTTGGGTCATTCAGGATCCTTCATATCACAGTACTCAGATCACCACATTCTTCAAGTAGTCATAAGGCTGGCTTCCAGTCAGGCCATCCACTAATATTTCTAAGAAAGCTCAACTTTCCATCCCTCAGTCCTGGCCATGACTAAGGAAGCATATTACCTTCTGTGGGAAATGCTGAATTGTTCTGTGTAATCTGTGTTCCATCCATACATGAACTGCTTGAGGCTAGAAAATCTTTAGAGAAGAATAAATGAAATCAATTTTATGTACTTAGAGTGGAAGCCAGCATTTCTTCACAAAGTCTTATTCAACGTGATAGGCAATCAGTTAACCATAATTAAAATTACACAGAAATCAGTGTAAAACATGCAATACCATTGATTTGATTTAAAAAAAAAAAAAAAGGAAAGAAATCATTGTAAAACAGAAGTTAGAAGTCATGTCATCCAATGTGTTAATATCTTGAAAATTATAAGTGGTTAATCGGTAATTCTCCTTCATGATATACTTTGTTTTGAACTATTTTGAAAATGGTAAGCCTGCGTCTACTGCATCCTTCTTCCCCAGCCAGGAAGATTGGTCCATGTGAGCAGCTCACATGAGCTGGTCCAGTTATATCCCTTCCTTCAGCTACCACTTCTAAATCAAAGTTATTTGGCCCAATGTTGGGCATCTCACCCAGGTAAATACAGCATTGCCCTCTCTCAAGAATTTTAGAAGCCAAACTGTGAAGGGTCCATCCATCTCTGTTCGTTTCTCATTTTATTCTACTTATTAGAGTACAAAGGGAAAAATATAGCAGAAGCAAATGTCAGCAAGGTGGCTGACTGAGGCCCCTGGTGCACATCTCCTCCACAAGAAAGGACCAAGCAATGAATAGATGGCTAAGATTCTACTGGAGTATCAAAGGGAGAGTGCAGGAGTGCAGCAATGTGGCGATTCCTCAAGGACCTAGAAATAGAAATTCCATTTGACCCAGCAATCCCATTACTGGGTATATATCCAAAGGATTATAAATCATTCTACTATAAGGACACGTGCACACGAACGTTCATTGCAGTACTGTTTACAATAGCAAAGACCTGGAACCAACCCAAATGCCCATCGATGATAGACTGGACAGGGAAAATGTGGCACATATACAGCATGGAATATTATGCAGCCATCAAAAACGATGAGTTTGTGTCCTTTGTAGGGACATGGATGAACCTGGAAACCATCATTCTCGGCAAACTGACAGAAGAGCAGAAGATCACACACTGCATGTTCTCACTCATAGGCAGGTGTTGAACAATAAGAACACATGGACACAGTGAGGGGAGCACTACACACTGGGGTCAGTTGGGGGGAAATAAGGGAGGGACGGTGGGGGGTGGGGAGCTGGGGAGAGATAGCAAAGGGAGAGATGCCAGATGTAGGTGATGGGGAGGAAGGCAGCAAATCACACTGCCACGTGTGTACCTATGCAACAATCTTGCATGTTCTTCACATGTACCCCAAAACCTAAAATGCAATAAAATGGAAAAAAAAGGAGTGGAGAGGTGCCTGTGGTCATCAGAAGCTCAGGAGGGAAGCATAAAAGCACCGTGCCTCTGGCACCCCATTTTCCTACTTGGTGAACATACATACAGACCAGCTGAGCAGCTGGGGAACTGTGCCCAGGGCCTGAGAAATAACCTTGTGTTCCCACTCCCAGCAGACATGCCCCCAGACTGGCTGACTGGCTGCCTACCCACTCTAGAACCTAAGAAACCCAGTGGGTCCACCCCTGGAAGACATGCCCTGAGGATAGCCAAGCAATCATGTGCTTGTGCCCCTGGCTGGGGAAACAGCCCCATAATCCCAAACCCAGCAAGCCAGATGCCAGATTGAATAACCCACCATGTGTACACAAGCACCCATGGCCTGAAAAACAGACTGGCAAACCAACTCCCAGCAAAGCTGTGCCACTGCTGCCACCAACTCACCACCTAGGTCACAGGAACATTTGCAAACATCACTAAAATGGATTATATATGAATAAGTTTTATGCTAAGGAGCCTATACCATAAAATCAGAAGAGGCAACAATTGCACCAGATGTCTAAGTATCAACATAGAAAAACATCAAACATAAAAAAGCAAGAAAATATGATAGACCCCCCCAAAGGAACACAGTAATTCTCCAATAACGGAGCCAATTATAAGGCAATATATGAAATGCCAGAAGAAAAATTCAAAATAATAATCTTAAGGAAGCTCAGATAAAGGAGAATACAGATAAACAAATAAAATCAGGAAAACAATTTGTGATTTAAATGGAAAATTCAACAAAGAGATAGCTGTCATAAAAAAGAACCAAACAAATTTTAGAGCTGAAAAAGTCAATTAATGAAATATAACAATTTTTCAACAACAGTATGGAAAAATTAGAAGAAAGGATTTCTCAACTTGAAGATAGGTCTTTTGAACTAATACATGAGGATTTAAAAGGGAAAAAAATTTTTTTAAATAAAGTTTACAGGATTTACGAGACACCAGTAAGCAAAAAACGTTCACATTATAAAATTCTGGAAGGCAAAAAGAAAGAAAAAGGCATAGAAAACACATTTAATAAAATAATAGCAAAAAATTTTGCAAGTCTTGGGAGAGAGAGAGATATCCAAATCCAGAACGTGCAAAATTCTCCAAATAGATTCAGCCCAAATACATCCTCTCTAACGGACTAAGAGACATTTTTAGTCAAATTATCAAAAGTCGAAGACAAAGGAAGAATTATAAAACCAACGAGAAAAGCATCAAGCCAAATATAAGGGAATCCCCATTTTACTGATAGCAGATTTCTCATCAGAAACCTTACAGGCCAAGAGAAAATTGAATGATGCATTCAAAATGCTGAAAGAAAATAACTGTCAGTCAATATTATATCCAGCAAAACCACCCTTCAGAAATAAAGGAGAGACAGTCAACAACCAGAAAAAAAAAATCAAATGACAGATGTAAGTTCTCGTCTATCAAACAACCTTGAATGTAAATTGATTCAATTTCCCAAGTAAAAGATTTAGACTGGCCAAGTGGATTAAAAATAAAGACCCAGTCAGGCATGATGGCTCATGCCGAGGAGGGCGCATCAACTGAGGTCAAGAGTTTGAGACCAGCCTGGCCAATATGGTGAAATCCCATCTTTTCTAAAAATACAAAAATTAGCCAGGCGTGGCGGCAGACATCTGTAATCCCAGCTACTTGGGAGGCTGAGGCAGGAGAATTGCTTGAACCTGGGAGGTGGAGGTTGCAATGAGCCAAGATCATGCCACTGCACTCTAGCCTGGGCAACAGAGCAAGACTCCATCTAAAAAAAAAAAAAAGAAAAGAAAAAACCACTCGTTATCATGAGAACAGCGTGAGGGTAACCACCCCCGTGATTAAATTACCTCCCACCAGGTTCCTCTCACGACACATGGAGATTATAGAAAATAAATTCAAGATGAGACTTGGGTGGTGACACAGCCAAACCATATCAGAAGAGGTCTACTTTCAGTTTTCTGTAGAGGGCTAGCCAGCTGTCCCAGCACCATTTATTAAATAAGGAATCCTTTCCCCATTGCTTGTTTTTGTCAGGTTTGCCAAAGATCAGATGGTCGTAGGTGTGTAATGTTGTTTCTGGGTTCTCTATTCTGTTCCATTGATCTGTGTATCTGTCCTTTACAACTACCATGCTGTTTGGGTTACTGTAGCCCTATAGTATAGTTTGAAGTCAGGTGCCTCCAGCTTTGTTCTTTTGCTTAGGATTGCCTTGGCTATTTGTGTTCTGTTTTGGTTCCGTATGAATTTTAAAATAGTTTTTTCTAATTCTGTGAAGAATGTCAATTATAGTTTAATGAGAATAACATTGAATCTATAAATTACTTTGAACAATATGGCCATTTTCACAATATTGATTCTTCCTATCCATAAGCATGGAATTGTTTTTCCATTGTGTTATCTATGATTTCTTTGGACAGTGGTTTATGGTTCTTCTTAAAGAGGTCTTTCACTTCCTTATTAGCTGTATTCCTAAATATTTTATTTTTTTGTGGCAATTGTGAATGGGAGTTCATTTGTGATTTGGCTCTTGTCTGTTGTTGGTATGTAGGAATACTAGCAATTTTTGCACATTGATTTTTGTATCCTGAAACTTTGCAGAAGTTATTACTTACCAGGTTAAGAAGCTTTTGGGCTGAGATGATGGGGTTTCCTAAATATAGAATCATGTCATCTGCAAACAAAGATAATTTGACCTCCTCTATTTTTATCAGAATTTTTTTGTTCCTTTCTTTTGTCAGCAACTTCCAATACTATGTTAAATAGAAGTGGTGAGAGAGGACATCCTTGTCTTGTGCTGGTTTTCAAAAGGAATGTTTCCAGCTTTTGCCCATTCAGTATGATATGAGCTGTGGGTTTGTAAAAAGATTAACAAACTTCACAACCCATTAGCTAAGTGGACAAGGAAAAATGGAGAAAAAACAAATTAATAAAATCAGAAACAAAAAGGAGACATAATCACCGAGACCACATAAATACAGATGATCATTAGAAACTATTATGAACAACTACACACAAATAAATTCAAAAGATTAGAGGAAACTGATAAATTCCTGGATACAGACAACCAACCAACTTTAAACAAAAAAGAAATGGGAAACCTGAGCATTCCAATAATGAGTAATGAGATTGGATTAGTAATGAAAAGTCTCCCAAAAAAGAAAGTCCAGAAACAAATGGCTTCACAGCTTAATTTATTTTTAATTACAAAGATTTTTATTCAGGTTTTTTCCCTTTATAAGATATATACTATAGCTGGGTTTAGTAAAGACCCTTTTGAAACCATTCCTGTGCTGAATAATATTCACATAATTAAAATACATCAATCTTATTATTTCCTCAGTAGCTTTTTTAAAAATTATATTTTAAGATCTGGGATACATGTGCAGAATGTGCATGTTTGTTACACAGGTACACACATGCCATGGTGGTTTGCTGCACCCATCGACCCATCATCTACATTAGGTATTTCTCATAATGCTCTTCCTCCCCTATCCCCCACCCCCTACAGGCCCCAGTGTGTGATGTTCCCCTCCCTGTGTCCATATGTTCTCATTGTTCAACTCCCACTTATGAGTGAGAACATGCGATATTTGGTTTTCTGTTCTTGAGTTAGTTTGCTGAGAATGATGGTTTCCAGCTTCATCCATGTCCCTGCAAATGACATGAACTCAT